AATATTATCTCTTTTGGTCCTCACAACTCTGGGAGGTAGGTTCTGTTATTATCCCCATTTTATAGATGAGAAAACTAAGGTGACAGAAATTAAGTGACTTGCCTGGCATCACATAGCTTGTAGGTATCTGAGCCAGGATTTAAAATCAGGTCTTCCTGACTCTATGGCCAGTGTTCTCTACATTGTACCACCTAGCTGCCCAAGAGGTTGACTTATCTGTGGTCACACAGTATGTCTCAGAGACAAGACATGATCCAAGTATTTCCTGGTTCTAAGTTTCTCTAATAAGACATTATATGCACAACACTGCCTCTCAAGATACTTTCAACATATTAATATTCTTTATGCTTAGAATAAGTAATTAAGCCACAGTTTGAGTGAACATATCTTCCCAACTTAAGTAATTCACATACTTTTGTTTTGTTTGATAAATTAGGCTACTCTGGATAGATGGGATTTTTAAAAAGGTGAATAGCGTATTTTCTTTTCTAGCATGTTTTCCCTTCAAAGTTGATTCACTTTTTGCTAAGGATTCTATCAGTAGGATGTCTCTGATGTCCAACAGTGGCCAATTTAAAAGTGGTAGGTCATTTTCCCACTTTAAAAGTCCTAAAGATGAAATAAGATTTTAAACAGCATTGCCATCTTGTACTATTAGAATTTAATGTGAGATAAATACATATGCTAATTTAAAAGCTTTTAATATAGTGCCTCCTTTATATAGAAAGAAAATCTATGTTGCTTCTTAGCAATGGTTATATCAGTGGAATGCAAAAGTAAACTTTAACTATACTTCAACTTTTAAGTTCCAACTTTATATAACTAAATAAAATGAGCTCTTGTTGACATAATTGATGCAATGAAATTTTTCTATAAAGCAATAGACATTAATTGCTAATCATAGCCATATGACATTTGATATATTCACATTTTGCACTATTCTCCATTGATTCTACTTTTGCCTCAGCAATAGCTGATGTAAATCTAGAAGTGATAAATTAGTGATGTATCATCAGTAAGAGGGGAGGGATGGAACAGCCTTCTGACCTGGTTTTTCCTTTTTGAAAAGGGTCTAACTTCCACAGATTAAATTTGCTACTATAGCAGGTTGGTGATAATAAAGAGTGTACTATCCAAGTTAAATTATTACTGCTGTTTTCTGCAGGAAGAAAAGAATGTTAAAGACAGTATCATAAGGTTCACAAATATCTCTTTGTTCTTTTGTAGTTGTTACTACAATGAATGATAACAATAAGTTTAACTTTGCTAAATAATGGAATAGATTCGTATGAGAAATCATAAAATGTTAGCACTTGAAATAAATTGGGCATATCTAAATCAAAGCATTTATTTTATAAATGATGAAACTGAGGTCTAGCCAGAAAAATAGGATGACTTACTTCAGTTCATATCACCCACGTTAGAAACAGGTGTATTTTTCTGTTCTCCTGATTCGCAGTCTGCTGTTTTCAAATACACCAGGTTAGTTAACATAAATTTTCTGCACTTTTGCTACTGATGTTGAAATTGTGAGGTGTTAATTCAATATTCAGTATAAAAACTTTCGAGGATGAATAATTGCAAAACTTCTTTAACATGCTTATGTCAGGATAGTGTCAACTCTGGTGTGAGAAACTAAGCAATGGAACGTCCTAGGTTTGTGGAGTTAAATGAACTTTAGAAATCATGTAGTCCAATTTTTGTATTTTACAGATGAAATGACTCAAGCCCAGAAAGATTCAGTGGGCTTGTTCAAGGTTACAGAAGTAGTGAGTAGCTGAGGCAGGATTTGAACTCAAGATATTTTGACTCCATTCAGTGCTTCTTTCACTGCCTCTCACAGATATGGAGCTGTAATTATGCTTTGGAGGGCAGAATTTGATCCAAAGTGTAGTTGAATCTGTATAATTACAAATCACACAAAACTAGTTGATTATAATTTATATTTAAATATACAGCACCAACTACTTTAGCTATCAAATACAAGGATTTCATTTTTTAAAAATCTTCATGTTGTTATAATAATAGTTTATATTTATATAGCAATCTTAAAGTTTGCAAAGCAGTTTTCTCACAACTCTGTGAGTCAGGTAGTACAAGCAGAACCATTTTCAACTTTTTGGATAAGGAAGTTGATTCACAGAAAAGTTAAATGACTTGTTCAGGGTCATGTAGCTAAGTGTCAGAACATGGGCTAGTTTTCTAACTGAAAGTCCGGTGAGTTTCCTCCTGTTACACTCAACTGCCTTTTATCTACCCAGAAGCCCTTAATGCTGTGGTAAAATTCGGTTTTCTCATAGTAATCTATGTCTTCTGTCTTGAAATATGATAGCTTTGAAATATAAACTGTGTCTGTTAAGTAAAACTCTGTGTTGAAAAGTATTCAGTATTCAAAATTCCGAACCAAGGATACAGCAAGTTCTCAGAATATCTTCTGAGGGATCAAAGGGATATTGAACATGTTTAGAATAGTTTTAAATGCACTTTAATATATTCTAACTTTTGGAAAATAAATTTTTGATGGTAGGAAGGCAATCAGGGTTAAGTGACTTGCCCAAGGTCATATAGCTAGTAAGTGTCTCTAAGGCCAGATTTGAACTCAGGTCCTTCTGACTCCAGGGCTGGTGCTCCATCCACTGTACTACCTATCTGCCCCACTTTTGGGAAATATTAAAACTCACTTAACCATAATATTAAACAACTAAAATGCCTATTTCCTGGCCATACCAGGTAGTCAAAGACTTTATTTATTTATTTATTTTTACCAAGTTAAAAAGGAGGAATTTAGCTCTACATATGTGAATTTCTTTGTAAATGTGAATTCTTTTTATTGGATTTCCATGTTTTTATTTTTAGGGCCAGCTTAATCAAGTATTTGAAATTCCTTTGAGAAACAGATTTATGCACAAACTCTAATAAGAGAAGTTATTTTCTTTGGGGAAGTGATTTTTAAAAGACTGATAAGATCCTGTTGGCTTCAGTCTTATTTATTTTCAATTCCATATTTTAGGAAGGGAAATATAGAGGAGTGAAAAGGACACCAGACCATGAAACCTAGCATAGGTTTAAGTTCAAGTCCGTATTTTAGGAAGCGATATATAAGAGGAATGAAAAGGGCACCAGACACAAAACCTAGCCTGGGTTTATATTTCAACTCTGATATTTGTATGACCTTAAGCCCATAGTTTAGAGGCAGCTAAGTGGCTCAATGGGTAGAGTGCTGAGCCTGGACTCAAGAAGACCTGAGTTTAAATTTAGCCTCAGCCCCTTACTAGCTATGGGACCCTAGGCAAGTCACCTAACCTCTGTTTGCCTTAATCCACTGGAGAAGGAAATAATAAACAACTCCAGTATCTTTGCCAAGAAAACTCTATGGACAGTGTGGTGCATGGGTTCGTGAAAAGTAGGATATGACTGAACAACCACAAGATCATAGGTTAAATAAAATTTAACCCCTACTTTTCAAATTCATCTGTAGTGTGGGAATAATTATACTTATTCCACCTGACTCACAGGTTCGTTGTGATGCTTGAGCTTTGTACAACTTGATGTGATTATAAATATGTTACTATCCTTTGATTGGAAAGAAATTTCAATAGTTTTTCATTAAAAGTTACTCCAAATCACTTCATATTCCTGATGGGAAGCAGTTCAGTTATTCCCCACTGGAATCCTACTTCGATTCCTTATTGTGGCAAAGGGAGAGGTGATGTCAGTGCAGCATCTAGGGGCTACCAATCTGGGAAGGTTTTTGATCTGAATCTGGAGATGGACTGTATGTTATGAAAGGAGTGGCTTAATAAAGTGGAAGAGGTTCATTTCCAAGCTGGCTGTGGAATAGTGTTGTTTTTTTTTTTTGGTCACAGCAACTCTTGAAGATTATCTGTTCAGTTCAATATGAATCAGTGGTAGAAATATCCTAATGAAATTACAGAAGCTTTAAGTATTTGAGATGTATTATTCAGTTGTAATACAAATGATTAATGAATTAGTTGATTAATGCTGACATTATATGATGAGTGAGCTGACCAGGAAGCTGCAAAGCATTGTGTAGCTTCTCCATGATGTTTGTTCATCTGCTCTGATGAACAAAAAGCCTCAAGCAGATGAAGCCAACAGAGTTTCATCAATCTTCATATATCATTTAACCACAAATGTTGGGGGGTAATTTTAGAATACTTTCTATTTTGCCACATTTAAAAATGTGCACTTGGCAATTGGAGATTTTTCCAATGAGCCTCAAAAATATGCGTTTAAATTAGATATCAGCTAGTAGAAAGATTACTAGATTACAAGTCAGAATGTCCAGGTTCCAGTCCTGGCTTAGCTTCTAATCAGCTATGACTTTGGGAAGATCACTGAACCTATCTCTGGTTTCCAGTTGTAGTTTTTTCATTTGTAAAATGAGAGAGGAGGGGAGATCTTGTAAGATCTAGCTTTAAAATTATCTGATTATATGATTTTAAATATTATGTGACTATCTAAAAGAAATTTAATTTCTCCCTCAGTAAACCATCAGTTCATACGAAACCATCATTTGTACGAATTAGTAGAAGGCATCAACAAAACAATTACATGTTAACAAGAAGCTAGAGAAAGGTCTCAATTACTTTGAAAAGAGTTGGGACCAGAATTCTGGGTGCCAGGATAATAGTCACTGGGAAATGGTAATCATGATTAGTAAGTACTATTACCAAATATTAAAGTTGGATAGCAACTTTGAGATTTATGATTTGGGGAAAAATTCACATTTGGGGACAAATAGGAACAGAGTGTACAACCATGTTCACACACATGCAAAAAATTCTAATGAGTTTTTCTTTTCCTCTTGAAATCATGTACTATATATTCTTGTAAAAATAACATGAATTTTTGCATGTTTATCTGTGAAAATCAGTACAAAATTCCCTTAACACCAGTGCATCTTTTTACATTTCAACAATAAAGGAGCAGAGGCCAAGAAATTAAATATAATAAAAAATGAAATATTTATTCTTTTGGCTCAATAATAATGTGTCTCACCATTCTTAAAGGGAATAGCAATTTCTTGCATGCAAGTCACCAATACACTTACTACAAGTCAATAGCTTTATAAAAGTACTCTACATTAAAATTTTGCTTGTGTAAGAAAAACAAATTGTTTTATGTTTGGTAATTATACAACTTTGCTACTTTGCTTTTGTCAATCAAGAGCGTGGATCCCACATAATTTCTGCAACAAGTCTAGAGCAGCATGAATTAAAGAAAATAAGAGTTATCTGTGTAAATAAATACTGAAAGAGATAAGATGATTATGAAAATGGATTATGTTGCAGTGAGTATAGTTAGAAAGAAATGAACTGGGTCTGTTTTTTTTCCCCTAACAATGCTGTACTATGAAATGATTAGAAACCTTGTATCAAAACAAAGGAACCCACAAATACCCTTTCTCTTACTTTTATTTTGAGAAGTTCTTCATTGAAAAGTATCATGGATTCAAAAGTCTATAGTTGTTAAATGTTTTTAAAAAAGTGAAAGCATAAAATAAAATAAACTTGCCATGACACCAACCTGAAAATAATTTTCTTATGTACAGAATGCTGACAAAACAATATTTTTACAATATGTATATTTAAACATGTTTAAACAGATCTTTTAAAACAAAAAATGAACTAAAGTTTTTTTTTAGCACAATAGGCAGTCTGCAAGGTGTTTTCTTAAAATCTTGGTAGACACCATATGATAGTCACTTAAAATTTGAAAAGCAAAACTAAAGAAGCTGTTAAAGAACTGTAAACTATTACTCATGACATAGCAGACAGAGGTCTGGTTGAATGTTTGTTTTCACTTTACCACCAACATATGGCTTTCTATAATAGACATGAAGAATGGAAGGAGTAAGAAGCTATAGCAGCAGCACAGGCAATATTAACATGCGTTAGTGAGAGCCTCCAAACTATGTATAATGAATGGTACAGGATACATCATATTTGTTGCTGCACACTTGCAAAAAATACACATACTGTGGTACATATTTGATTCATAAAAGTTATTTATCTGGCCATATATATTTGCTCAAACATGCACCACAGGATAAAATAACTATTTACATAACAGAGGCTGTTTCATTGACAAAAATGTCAGCTTTGTTGAGAGCAGAAGATGGCTAAGCAATACTGCAGGAGAACGTGGAACAACTATTCTCGTGTGATATGTTTTGTCTGTTACTTTGCTGAAGCAGATTACTTCATCTGCTTTCTAGAAAGTAACATTTAACCAAAACGAAATATAGGACTTTGATACTTGGAAGGAAATTTGCACTTGCTGAAACAATTATTTTCGTAAAAATAATCCATTAAAAATTAGAGGAGACTTTACAGGCACATAAAAGTGTTTACAATGAGATACACATAACAAACTGAAACACTCCCAGATTTAGGGGCATCTAAGAAATAGAAGGATTGTAAGTATTGTCAACATTATGTATTATTTCCCTCCCTGGGCGTAAGCTAGGATTGTAGCTATCATGATATCAAATAACTTCTGTCTGTATAATTGAGGAAACCATAGAGCAGACCTCTTGGTTCTTAGACATTTTCCTAAAATTTTAAACTCATTTACAGAGCCACAAAGGGTAGTGAACAACTTGTGAATTATGGAAATGATAAAATAATTAGGTCAAATTTTGTTTAAAAAAACATGGCAAATGTTGCATGTGAAATACAGTGGATACAATTACTATACTAAAATGGTTTGGTGTTTGTGTAATCATATCGATCACTTTGCAGTACTTAACTGGTCTCTATAGACTAAGTAGCCACTTTGTCTCTTCTCTTCAGCAGTGTCAGTTGGTAGTGAGAACAGCAAACCCCTGTCAGTGTTGTTACCCTGTTTTACAGAGTTACAGTGACAGAGCAGGGTCACTGTCTTGTGAGAGGCACTGACCTTAGGTATGTTTGAAAAAAAGAAAACAGTTTGGTGTAGACCTCCTAAAGGAGTCCAGTTGACACAAACACATCCCCTTCACAGGCTGTAAACAATTGATAGCAAAGAGAGTTCTTTGTTTCTTTTTACTTTTTATTTTCCCTGACATCTTTCCCTTTACTTCCATTTTCTAGTCTGTCCGTTTCAAACTTTTCTTTGTCTGGTTTTGTTACACTATCATATGAAGGTGGAGAGGTTGTAGAGGAACTTTCATCTGTCTTTTCTGGAGTGGTGTTACCATTTAGTTTATCAATAATTAAGTGTTCTTTAATAGGTAGGTCTACCCTACCTTTACCATTATCATTATTATAATCATTTGGTACCTTTTTAAGCCTTTGTCTAAAAAGATAGCATTTGAAATTACGCTGAATGATAGCAGCAGAAACCTCTTCTTGTTTCCGTTTCAAAGTAGTTGTAATTGGCTCATAGGAGACTTTGGAAGGATTAGATGCCATAAATCGATCTTCCATCTGTATTCTGAGAGCATCCATCTCTCCACTCTCTCCCAAAACACGCTTTGTGAAAGCAAATAAGATGTCAAGACAGTGAATTCTGTCCCCACTTACCATGGGCAGGTCCATGGCTATGAGCTGGACTTTGTTTGGTTTTGCTATAAGAAGAGGTGGATCCAGGGCAGCTGCAAAATCAGAGAGTTTACTGTATTCTATGAACTGGGTGGCATCAGGATCAAACTTCTCCCAAACCTCGTAGAACATCTCAAAGTCATCCTCACTTAGTGGCTCTGCACTCTCTTCAGTAGCAACACTGAAGTTCTCCAGGATAACAGCAATGTACATGTTTACAACCACCAGGAATGAGATGATGATGTAACTGACAAAAAAGAAAATCCCAACAGATGGGTTGCCACAATCTCCTTTGACTGAGCTTCCAGGGTGAATTGTTTCTAGGTCACAGTCTGGTGGTCCACTGTTAAGAATGGGTGCAAGCAAACCATCCCAACCAGCAGATGTGGTGATTTGGAAGAGGCAGATCATGCTGTTGCCAAAGGTTTCAAAGTTAAACATGTCATCGATTCCATATTCTTTCTTAACATAAGCAAAATTGGACATTCCAAAGATAGCATAGATAAACATGACCAGGAAGAGAAGGAGTCCAATGTTAAACAGAGCAGGGAGGGACATCATCAAAGCAAAGAGGAGCGTGCGGATCCCCTTTGCTCCTTTGATGAGACGAAGGATTCGTCCAATCCTGGCAAGGCGGATCACTCGAAACAGGGTAGGGGATACAAAATATTTTTCTATCATTTCAGCTAGAAACATACCTGTGGGAAAAAGGATAAACTCATTACTCATAAAAGTTAATCTTTTATAATAGTTCTTTAATCTTTATTAAGATGACAGTGTATCAAATATTGAGCTAGATATTGAATATGGACATTTTATTTTAGAACTCTACAAATTATATACTTCTACTAAGTGTCATGAGCTAATGGCCTAAAGTAAGCAAGTTAAGTTTTAATAAATAATATCATTAAGTTTTAATAAATAGTTCCAAAGTTTTAAAACAAAATTCCATGTGTCACTAAAGCACCTTCCAGTTATAAATCTATAAATATTAAATCTTGCACAAATAATCTAATCTCCCTGACAACATAACCTTATTAAATCTAAGATTTAAGAACCTATTATGTGTAAGTCTCTATTAGATGCTAAGGATTTCTAGATGAAGTATGATGTGATCCCTGGCCTCAGGAAATTTATAATTTAACAGAAGGGATAAAGGTGTGAAAAAATAAAAATGACAAAAGGAAGTATGCAATGAGAAAAACAGAAAGCTCCAGGGAAAGTTCTTTAAAAAAATTAGACGTGTGATCCCTACAGCTAGGGGGTTATTAATGAGAGGCAAACAAAGTTTTCATTGAGAGAGAGAGAGAGAGAGAGAGAGAGAGAGAGAGAGAGAGAGAACACTGCCCCTATCACTCAACCATTTTGTTCTTACCTTTAAATGCATTTGTATAACAATTAAAGGCACCTTGAGAGACATGGGCAACCTTATTTCATTAGGCAACACACAGTTACTGTGGAGTTTTTTTGGTTTCAATTTTTGAAATAAGTTTCAGGAATACAGACCTTCAGGGATTTAACTGGAGTTAAAATAAATTTTCTTACTCCAAATCAGATGGTTGTGTGTGGTCTGGGATTATGAGTTAGTACCAGTATAAAGGGAGTCAAAGGAGCAGACAGTCATAGCCTGGGGATTTTTGCTAGTTTCCTGGGTTGGTAGTGATGGCTCATAGTTCTCAATGGTTATGCACTAAAAAAGTTTTAGCCCTGTTGTGCTGGCAAGGAGAGGGACCAGCTGGTGAAAGGCACAGAGATTGTCTCAGTAATCATGAGGCCAGAGGACCGAATGTGACAAAAATCAAAGAATTCATACTCAGAAGACATAACAAAAGTGTAATGGAGAATTATGAGAATGGCAGAAATGTGGTTTGCCCTGGCCACATGTGTATGCCCTCCATCTGTTTGCTCTATTCATATGTTTCTGGTTTATCTTCCCCTTCTTTTATGTTCCCTCTTCATGTATGTATACTGCATGAGTGTTTCTTAGTCATGTGTGTTCTTTACACATGTGCTTTCAGTCATTTGAGATATGGTAACCTGTGAGAAAAGTATACCCCAGTGTATGTTTTGAGATAAATTTTCTTTTCACTTAATTTTCTAAGTTATTTGATTAAATTTATTTGGTTGTGAATTAATGTATCCTCTGGTTGGCTAGGAAAAGCAAACACAATTGGGGCTCATGAATTATGGGTCTGAATGAGTGCTAACCCACAGAGTGCTGATGACCTGCCATTGTATCTGGGGAACTTCTTGTGTGAGGAGTTCCTAAACTTAACATATTTTGTAGTATATACTTAAGATATTTTGGTACACACTGCACATCTAGCAAACACACACCCATACACACACACACACACACACACACACACACAGAGTAAGACAATTCAAATTAAGCTTAATTTTCACCTGTATTTGGTGTCTCGTAAGAGAAAGCGTATCTTACCCACAATGGAAAGAATGACCACAACAAAATCAAAAATGTTCCATCCTATGGTGAAGTAGTAATGGCGGAGGGAGATCATCTTCAGTACACATTCTCCAGTGAAGAGGACAATGAATACAAGGTTAATCCGAGACAGAATGCTAGTCATATCATCACTCTGGTCATCAGTCTCCACCATCATGGTAACCATGTTGAGGCAGATGAGGATCATGATGCTGATATCAAAGACTTGTCTAGTTACAAAATCAAAGACCATTCCCTGGAATTTATTCTGCAAAATATAGAATGTTGTCATTCATTTTCTTTTTCTCCAAAAGGAAAATTAAAGGATTCTGAATGCAGTATAATGACAAAAAAAGTCCCCTCTGCATTTAAGTGGCAGAACTGGTAGACAAAAGCAGCTCTTCCTAAATTATCATTGTTCCTTTTATACATACACTTTCTTGAGGTCTTTCCCTTTTTCTCCATTTCCTTCTCCCTCTCTGTTGGTGTTACTTGAGAAACAAAGTAACCAGTAACAAAGCATCCAGTAAAAGTATAATAATGATAAAAATCAGAGCTTCTTTAGCCTTCATGAACTTACTTTGGTTTCATGAGAAACAATGAATTAAGTAGGTCAGAAACTGAACAATTAACTAAATCTGATTCTGTCTTAGGATCTCTAGCACCTAGCATAGTGCCATTCACATAATGATGATTCTGTGTACACACACACACACACACACACACACACACACACACACACACGTATACATATATATGTATATGTACATCTGAAATGAATTGTTCTTTGTTAACTTCTGAGATGCATATATCTGCACTAGAAGTGGAAGATGGGGAAGGCAGAAGTTACTCTTTTATGGACCTTCTTATGATTCCTATGTAGGTGCAATTTACCCTTCTGTATGACTATCCCCATGGGACTTTGGAATCAAACATGTTAACAACATTTACTGATTCTTTTCTGAAATGTTAGATGAACTGCTGAGTTGTTTCAGTAAACAGTTCTAGCTTCTTGCTCTTTAAAGGAAGAATATTTCCTTTCCAAATTGGTAAACAGAGAAAGACAAAATAAAACAATAGAAAAGGATTATATAAAGATGCTGAAAAGGGAGAAGCTCCCAGACAGAAGGTATGAAAGTCAGTCAGGAGATCAAAAACTGGCTACACAATGGGAGAATCAGATACAATTTTCATGATATGGCCAGCACTATAGTTAGGATGGGGGAAAGGAAGTAAAAAGTGAGGCAGAGGAGAGTTAAACACCTATCTTGCAACCATATACCCTCTTCCCAAACTCTTTAAACATTTGAGTTTATATGAAGACTAAAAATATTTTATCGGGGATGTGTAAATTTTTGGCATCACTGGACCTAGATTACAAATGGGTAATTTCAGTTTGCCTCATTTTTGGAAGCTGATAATTCTTAGTCACATTCAGAGCAAGAGCAAATTCTTTACTTTTTAGTAAACCTTGCAATAGGAGCTACAAAGAGATGATGCCACAAAATTTGCTTGATTTTCATCAAATTCACCATGTCAATATATCCATAGTATAAAGGATTATTCTTACTGCTGGTCTAGGGATAGGTTTCTGAGGTTTCTTCGATCCTAGTTTCTTCATTGCATTATAATATTTTTTCTGTTCCTCTGTCATAAAAATGTCTTGACCTCCAAAGTAAAGAAATATTATGAAAACTGGTTACAACCATTGACATGTTCAATATGTTACTGAAATTATTTTCATAAAATACTTCTGAAGTGTTAGGTCAACTTGAGTGATTTTGAAATTTTCATGTTTCCATTCTGAGATACTAATCTAAGTTTAATGCTCGATAAATTTAAAAGGTGTGAAAGTTCAAGCATATGGGACATTTGTGGAATAAATAATAGAGTGCTGGCCTTCAAGTCAAGAAATTTAGGTGTAAATCCTGGCTCTGCCACTAATTGTGTGACCATGGATCAATGACTTCTTCAATTTCCTTTTCTGTAAGGTGGGAATAACAATATGGTCCTTCATAGGATTGTTGTGAAGAGATTGCTTTGTAAAAAGTGATACTTAAATATGAGTTATTATCCTATGAATTGGAAATAATAATAATAATTCGCATTCTTTTGTAGCACCTTTGCATCAGGTAAACTTACAGAATATGAGAGAACTAAGTTTTTTTCTGTTTAAAACATATTTGAGAGCGCTTGCAAATATAAGCTTTTCAAGACCTTCACAACCTGGCCTCATCTTACCTTTAGGGACTTATTGCATATTATTCTCCTTCTTGCACTCTGTAGTCTAGCCAAATTGGCCTTGCTATTCCTCACACACTACATTTTCTCTTTACCTCCTCCTTGTAGAATCCTTTACTTCCTTATAATATTCAGCTCAAACACCATCTTCTATGTAAAACCCCTCCTGATTCCTCTAGCTACTGGTGCCCTCCTTCCATAAACTTCCTAAATTTAATTTTATATCAATTCTGTATGCGCTTTTATCTCATAGAATGCCAGCCAGTTTCTTGAGAACAGGACTGTTTTATTTTTGTCTTTATATACCCAGTGCCCAGCAAAGTACCTGGTATATATAGTATTAGGTACTTAATAAAAACGTATTGATTGATTGATTAACTTATTAAGTTACAATTTAAATTCTTTGTTAGGCAAGTTTTAAGAGTAATTTCATAATGAAATCATCCTTTTGCTTTGACATAAGCATGCACTCCATGCAGTAGAACAGTTTCTTCTATTTTATTCTGTAATCTTTCCTGAGACTTGTCTTTAAATAATTCTTTAAGAAATTTGTGGATTTTTTTTGTATAATCCTAAAATGAAGCCAGCAGGTTCCCCTCCTGAAATCATGTGAATTTCTACCTGTTCTTTCAAATACCTGTTTGACACCAGTTGTTTCAAATCCAGGATTTTGACTTGATTGTACAATGGGGGAAGTAATGGAAAGCTCTTTCTTTAAAGTGGGAAACTGAATCTGGAAAATGCTTTTCTTCATCACTAAACCAGTTTCTAAATCTCATATGCAGTTGGGCCAAAATATGGAAGAGCCAGTCAGTTCATTTTATTGTGATGGACAGTCTAGGTGGATGCACTACAGCTAAGTGCACCATGCCTACATCTAGTTGGAGTCCTAAAATGATCACCATTTGGTTATAACAGATCTGATCTGGTAATTACAGGGGTCTTATAGAGATACAATACTATATGTACACTATAAGGATACTACATGCTATAGGGAGGTAAAACATATGGAATACTTATCTTCTTTTTTTGCTGGTTGAAGTTATCTATGATGACACCAATAAATAGGTTCAGAGTGAAAAATGACCCAAAAATGATAAAGATGACAAAGTATAAATACATGTATAAATTGACTTCATATTCAGGTTGTTGTTTTACCTAAATAATAAGCAAACATACAATAAGCATTCAGTCCATATTTATATGAAGTAAGCGTGGTTTGGGTTTGGGGGAAATTATTTAATGTAAGAACAATTTCTGTCTTGCAAAATGTTTATCTGGAGTATTTGTTTCAAACTACTGCCCTTATTGTACCTTACTGAGCATCCAGACACCAAGTTTTCTGACTGGCTCAAAGTACACAATTTTTTCCCAACTTGGCTTATATGTAGCAAGCTCTTTAGAGATAAATGCATAAATATTATAAGAGAGGACAAAATGTTTGGGGTCAGCATGGTATAGATATATTGTAAGCAGAAAACTGAACTATGCTGTTATAACTTTCATTTTAAGAGAATATTTAAGACAAAATAAGTTCTGAAATGGCACTTAAATTTTCTCATTTTATTAGGTAAATTGGAAGTTGCTTGCTTTTAGATTTCATCCTGAAGTCATTTCATAAATTACCTAGTTTATCCTTACAGAGCCAGGAGAAGATGTTGAATATCTGTCCCTCTCCCCCACTACTGTCAAGTTCTTTTCCTATTATGGATAATCTTTCTAGATTGGAAAATTCAGTATCTTATTACCCATTTAGTTAGAAATTCTCTCTTTCATCGAGTATATGTACATTTAGAATATTTTACTTTTCAAGATTTAATGCTTAAAACAACTGTGATCTTATAATTTATAATATTCTAAGCACTCAATTCAGGAATTATAATTCTAGCGTATGTTTATTATAGAAAAATCTAGCAGATATAAATAGTAAATAAATGATACTTACTTCTCGTGAATCAACAGCTGCATACATAATATCCATCCATCCTTTAAATGTTGCCTATAAATAAGACATATTTAAATTCTACAAGAAAACCTGCTTCGAGAAAATAAATGGCACTTTCCCAGACAATTACTTGATAGTCTTATTTTAAATAACTATTTTCATCCATTATTTCAAGGTGCTGTTATAAAACAAGATTTGCAGATGTAGCCAGGTTTTTGCCTTCTTTTATTTATTCTTGGAAACATTTTCCATTTCTATTCTAAAAATTGCAATTCCAGTAATGATACATGCATTTTGCTTAATGCATACAACCATCCAAAGGTTTTATATCATTAATACCAAATTGAATTGTTAAGTGCTAAGACAGTTTCTATGTCTACACTCATGACTTAATGTACTATATAAATTTATTAAAGCAAATAATAAACAGTAAACTCAATAACAAAAGGTAATTATTAAGTGCTTTCCTGTGTGCAAGAGAGTGTACTCAGGCTGAACATACAAACAACAAAAGTAAAAAATACCTACAATATATTCTCCTGGGAGACAAGGAGGTGGATGTAGGATATGAACATAAAGTACCACTATGTGCAAACTATTGCTAAGTAGCTTTAAGAGGGAGAGATGACTAAGAATTGCAAAGATGGGGGAAGGCCATGTGGAGAAGGTGGTGTCTGAGTGGACACTTGAAGGGAGCCAGGGATGAAATGTGTTAAATGAAGAACAACAGCAAAGAGGTCAGTTTGGCTACAATATAGAGTGCGGCAGGGGGAAATAAAACATTGTGAGTCTGGAAATGCAGGTTGGATTAATATTGTGAAGGACTTGACACATCAAACAGAGAAATTTGCTTTTGATCCTAGAGACATAAGGATTCACTGAAGCTTGTTGAGCAGAACAATGACATGATTAAACCTGTATTTTAGGAATGTCAACCTGGCATCTGTGTAGAGGATAGATTGGAGTGGGGAGAGACTGATTGTAGGGAGACCAAACAGGAAATTATTATAATAAGACAGTAGAAATGTGGATGAGGGACTGAACTAGGGTGACTGTAGTACATGGAGGAATTGTGGAGATAGAATTATGGAGGTAGATAGTATTGTGGAGGTACAATCAACAAGATTTGGACAACTGATTGGATATGGAGTGTGAGGGGGAGTTTAGAGTCGAGGATTACTCCAAGTTTGTGAACCTAGGTGACTAGAAGAATGGTGTTATTCTAGACAGAAATGGGGATGTGTGAAAGAGGAATGTGTTTGGGAGGAAAGAAAATGTATTCATTTTGGGACACATTGAGATAACTAATAGGCAGTTGGTGATGTAAGGATGGAAAGATATGTGTACATATGTATGTATACATATATAATACATAAATATATAATATGTAATAAATATAAAATATATACTTTAATATATTTATGTATGTATATACACACATATGTATATATTGAGAGTTAACTGCAGAGAGTTAATAATTAAACCCAGGGGAACAGATGAGATCACTAAAAGAAAAGAGGTCCTAGGAGAGAGCTCTGAAGCATGATCATTGTTAAGGGCTGTTATATGGATGATGATTTAGCAAAGGAGATTGAAGGGTAGGAATATATGAAGGAAGAGAACTAGAAGAGAACATTGTCATGAAAAGTCAAGGAGAGAAAAGTATCTAGGAAGAGGGGGTGGTTTACAGTGTCAAATACTACAGACTGGCCAAAAAGGTAAGGAATGAGAAAAGAATATACCATAGTAATTAGGAATTATCAAGATACTGATAACCTTGGAGAAAGCAGTTTCAATCAAGGGATTTAAGGTATGGCATTGGGGAGAAAAAGAAGGTCATGAGAGGTGGCTTTTTAGTAAAGTCTCAGGAGAGATCCTCTCCTAAAGGAAAGGGAAAGGAAAGGAAAGGGGGGTGGTATTTGAGGAGACAAGAGAATGTTTTGAACAGATACTATGGGTAGTGTAGTTGAGAATAAATTTAAGAAAAAGGATTAGCTTGCAGCAATCAGGGTCCAATTGACATTACATAGCAAACATTTGTAGTGGACTTAGTAAGCACAGTCCTGTGGTTTCCTGCAGAGGTACTCACTAGCACACATATAGTAGTGGAGAATTACGAAGTAGAGGTTTGGCAAGATGTGAAGAATGATGCATTGCTTAAGTATGGATAAAAGCTATGAAAGGAAGTAAATGTGATCAACACAGAAGTAATGGACTAAGAAAACAGCAAGGAAGTGACTGGAAATCATGATGAAGACAAAGAATAGGCTTAAGAAAAGTAAAGTAAAGGAAGAGATGAAAGAAAAAGAGGTTACAATCTTAATGAGGAATTTCAGTTTTTACTCAAAATGTCTAAGCTATTTGAACACATAGGCAAATCCTATGAGATCATACCAGGTTTTTTACCTTACATCGTAATCAAACTTTGCAAATATATTTATTCTCCTTAGGAAACTGAGGATAATAAGTAGAACCTAGGAATGCTACAAGCCCATAAAATGATGCAATAAAGCTGTGAAATAAACACTATAAAATTAAATTCTCATCATCAAAAATAAATTGAAGCATAGAACATTTTAAAGTAACTGCATGAGCCATTTTCTTCTCAAAGCTTAGTTTTCAAAAGATTTTCCAAGTGTGAGCAATACAGACTGAGTTAACATCACATATTTTCCAATTATAAATTTTTAACAGTCATGAAGGCCATCGCAGCAGAAGAAGGATTATACTTATTGAAAAATTATAAGCCATCATTCGCTTTGGTACAGGCAAGCAGACTAATAGGCACTTACCACTTGAAGCAGGGCAAGATATCCAGCTCCAACATTATCAAAGTTTACTTTCACATTTTTCCACCGCGCCTGATCTCCAAGAGCCTGACAATCAGTAAAATTGTTGACTTCCTTAACTTCGAACATGACACCAGTAGTGACATTAACACAGTGGTAGAATTTGCCAGCAAACAAATTCACTCCCATGATACTGAAGATGAGCCAGAATATGAGACAAACCAACAGGACATTCATGATGGAGGGAATGGCTCCAACCAGAGCATTCACAACCACCTAGCTCAGAGAAAGGAAACCATGTATTAAAAAAAAAAACAACTTTTTACTTATGTCCTATTTTATTTCCTACTAAAATAGCATTGTGCATATTTTTTAGTAAAGACATACATAAAAGAATTGTATCTTCCATATTCAAAGTTTAAAATAAATATAACTTAAGATCAGTAGTATATTTGGAAAGCAAAAGTATGCCAAAGTATGAAACAGAAATAAAGGAAAACCTGGTAGTAAGATGGAGTCATAAAATGTTTGTATGCTAGAGAAAAAAAGAGAAAGAGACACATTAAATACCAACAAAAGAAATTAAAATTAACGAACAATACAAATTAATATGCAAAAAGTTAATATATGAAGTTAATGATTATATGAGAGGATGGTTATGCAAAGAACTTTATAAATAAAATAGGTGTTTTATATGCCTTCAATCTATATTTTCAGATTAAAAAATTTTCAGAATCTGAGAAACGTTAATAAGAATTTGTTTCCATTCTACTTGGTTGTCCATAGTTTCTAAAAAGTATATTGGAACAAAAGTGAATTTTCTTCTGAAGACATAAGACTACTGCTCCACATTTACCTAAGTGTAATGGTAGAGTTTGAGATGTTGTTCAAACATTTAGATTAAGGTACATTTTACTTCAACTCTCTTAAGTAAGACTGAGCTAGTGAGGAGTGAAAATAATTTAGCTTTTTGCTGATAAAAGCAAGGTCAACCTAAGAGTAAGATATTTGAAATTTTGAAGAAGATTAATGCTGAGCACATAAGTTTCCATTTAATCAGATCACTTCCTCAAAGACTTTAATAAACTCTTAATTTAATTGAAAAGGCTAGGTGGTACAGTGGATAGAGCATAGGATTTGGAGTCAGAAAGACTGGACTTCAAATCCAGAGTTAGATGCTTGCTAGCTGAATGACCCTGGAAAGTTATGCAATTTGTCTACTTCAGTTTCTACACCTGTAAAATGGGCATGATAATAATAACAATCTTATTTCCTAGGAGGGCAGCTAGGTGGTGTAGTGGACAGAATGTTGGGTCTGGAGTCAGGAAGACTCATCTTCCCAAGTTCAAATATGGCCTCAGACACTTAATAGCTGTGTGACCCTGGGCAAGTCATGTAACCATGTTTGCTTCAGTTTCCTCATCTGTAAAATGAGCTAGAGAAGGAAATGGCAAACCTCAAATAAGATCATGAAGAGTTGGACATGATTAAAACTACTGAACAACAACAACAACCCTCCTAGGATGGCTGTAAGGATAAATTGAAAAAAAAACATTTTAAATCACTTCACAAACCTTACAGCAGTATATAAATATTATATAAATGGGCAGCTATGTGGCACAGTGAATAGAGCACCAGGTCTAGAGTCAGAAAGATGTGTTCAAATCTGGGCTCAGACACTTATTAGCTGTGTGGCCCTGGGCAAGTCACTTCACCCTGTTTTCCAAAGTTTCCTGTAAAATGGGCTGGAGGGGAAAATGGCAAAGCACTTCAGTATCTTTGCCAAGAAAACCCCACATGGGGTCACAAAGAGTCAGACACTACTGAAAAAATCACTCAACAACAGTCATCATTATCATAATTAAAATCTTCAGGAAACACATGAGTTTGAATCTTCACCCCTCCTCCCCAGCACTTACTGGCTGTGTGACCATGGGCAAGTTGAATCTCCTATGTAAAATTGGAATTAATAATAACTCACAAGACTTGTGAGGGCCAAATAAGGTACTGTACTATAACAGTTCATTAAAAAGTTAAAGTAAAATGTGTCATCTCTTTTTATTATTATTTAAAATCAATTAGACGAAACATGCAAGCTAAAACTATTTTTAATTCTTTTTTCATTTTACTTATGTACAAATTGAAAACTGTAATACAAAGAGGTCATTTATCCTCATCCAAAAAATTTTTGCTGAAATTTCTTTCACGTTATGTGTGCTTAATTTTGTACAATTTCTGATATAGACCAGAGGTGTTTTATTACAGTTGGGAATTAAAAGGGTGCACATATACTCTTCAGATTAGAATACAAGTAACAAGAAGAAAGTAAACTAGATTCATTGTTCAGTCAGAGGTCAAGAATATAACCTATAATTACACAGGTAGTTAATGCAAAAAAAAAAGTTTCCCCAAAGTTTTGCCTTTAGTGCTTGACTAATTATTCTAACTTCCTTTTTTGCTTTGATTTTAAAACTATTTTTAAATAGTTTTTAAATAAAACTGTTTAAAACTATTAGGCTTTTTTCTTTTACATTTTAAGAATTATATATATTATTAGTGGGTAGAAATTATTTACCTTTAGCTACTAATAACTTTTTGAGAAATCAGAATAATATCTGTGGAGAGCAAAAAAGTAATTTGTTAAAGCTTTACTATTTATTTCCTAGCTGTGTGATCTTGGAAAAACTGTTTCCCCTTTCTGTGCCTCAGTTTCCTAGTTTGTAAAGTGAATGAGCTTAAATTAGATGATTTCTATCAACTAAATCCTAAACTCTTATTATTAATTTGAGTAGGAAGCATGTGCCAAAATGAGTTAATGCAACATGTGTGGTTGCATATAGCCTTTTACACGCTAAGCAGTGTGATTTTGGTGCAGTGGAAAGGCCAATGACTGGGAATCAAAAACCTGATTAGTAGTCTTAGTTCTTCCACGAATTAACTGTATGATCTTGTCTGGTTCATATAATCTCTTTCTGATTTAAGTGCTCCAAGAAGAATTTGAGTTAAATTTGGTGATTTTATGATTCTTTGAAATATAAGAGGGATGAATTAAGCACATCTGTGTAAAATGCTCATTTTTATGCTTGTTTAGTAAAGTATCATTTGAAGAATTTTCATATATTTCTTACCCTCATTCCTTCAAACCGGGACAAGGCTCTCAGAGGTCTTAAAGCTCTTAGTGTTCGAAGAGATTTGATGGCACCAAGTTCCGAGTAGCCCAGAGCATTGGCTGCCAAGCTAACCAGCGATACCTATGCATATCAAAAACCAAAAAAACCCAGGAACTTTAATTAAGCAGTTCTACCACAAAATGGCCAAGGATATAAATGGCCATATATTAACAAGGGAAATATATCTATTTGAAAAAAAATTTTATCAGAACATAATCACTTAGTTAATGCTTTTTTAACTGACTGTAAAACCATGTACAGTTAATTCATTTAACCTTTTTAAGCCTCCATTTCCTCATCTATTAAATGATGATAATATTTCTAAAACCTACCTCCCTCATAAGTTTTTGTGTAGGTCAGATGCACATATTTATGTAAATTGCTTTGTAAATGTCAGCTATTGTTATTAGTATTATATGAAGTTTCGCTATTTAACCAGTTGGATGAGCTATAGACTCTACTTGACATAGACTCTACTTGACATAGCCCTATATCTCTATAATCTCTAATTCCACAAGAATTTTAATTGAATACTTAAGTATTCCTGTGAATCTCATTTTGTTGATGAGTGTACTCTTTCCAATGTGCAGACCACATATTTTCTCATCTTGGCTTCTTCTTTTCCACATCCTCCCATAAATCCTCTACAGAGGATCCACCGAATGTGTAAGGGTCTTTATATAGGTCTTTTAACATGAGGACCAGTGCAGCATATATGCTATGTATATGTTAGTACTTTTTGTTACTACATAACCATTGGAGCTTCATTCTTTCTGGTCACATATCTCTTTGATGTTATCATTTGTGCTATTTCTTTCATGAAATTCATTTTTGCAAATACACTGAAACCTATTTACACCTACCATGTATTTCTCCATTGTCTTTATGGTGAACTGCAATTGTACTTCTTCAGGACAATGGTATTCCATTATTTACATTCTCTTTCATTTTAATGCAGTAAAAATTGATAAAGATATGCCCTTTAAAATATATTTGCCTTCACTATATTTCAGGATGTTTTACTGAATAACTAATCATAAACATTTGAAATATGTTATAGCAGTGTATCAAATTTAGCCAAAATCAGCCCACAACCTATAAAAGTTATTGTGGAATAAATAGGCAAACACAAAGTGCTCAGTGATTAAGTTAAAACCGACCTTATTTCACTCAGTCAGATAGTTCTTGTTAAAATAGCTTGAAATTAATTATCTTTGTATAGTTATGGTGAATCTTCTCTGCCTCTTTTAAATTATCTGGGTACTGTAGTTCTCAAATAAATTTATAGCCTGAGAATTACAACCTAAAACCAGAAACCATTCCAGGAACTCTTCAAGAAGAGGTAGCTAAGAGCAAGTCCTCATGGGACTTTAGCCTGAGCAACTTTAAATACTCGAGCTTGATAGTTCTCTAGAGATGACCTGGGACAACAGAGTTCAAGCATCAGTAGTTGAAAATAATATGTACATATGTGTGTGTGTGTGTGTATATATGTGCATAGATAGATTAGAAAGCATTCAAACATGAAAAGCAAAGAGGCTGGATTCCCAGAGAGAGGGAGAGAAGGGCAGTAATCCTGAAAGACATGTCCTGTTCAATTTAAAAAGTATTTATTGAAGACTAGTTAGAGACAGGATGATGGTGTAGGCTAGAGTGCTGCAGGTACTTGGATTTAGGAAGACCTAGGTTCAAGTGCTGCATCTGGTACTTACTAGTTTTGTGACTGTGGGCAAGTCACTTAATCTCCCTGAGTTTCACACAACTCAAAGACTATAAATTGCTTGTTTATAATATGCCTTAGTGGAAATATCTCCCACACCAACAGAATCCCAGGTCCTTAGCATACTGAATGATGTGCAAAGTGCTGTTAAGTACTAGGGGAGATTTCCCCCTCTTTCTGACTGCACCTGGGATTTCTTTGGTATCAGGAATTCCCAATGGGGAAACTTTGTAAATGCAGGTCAGCATTGACCCTGCAACTTACAGACTGCAAGAGAGAGTCAGCTGGGATACTGAGAAGTAAGTAAGTGCAGGGTTGTGAAGCCAGTAGGTGTTAGAGGTAGGGACTGAACCCAGGTCTTCAAGACTCAATAGTAAGGTCTTTAGCTACTCTTTCATGCCACCTCTAACATAACACATAGTCCCTTCCCTCATGGAATTCCTGGCTCTGTTTTAAAAATATGATTATAAACCTCAGAACTCTTTCTGGGGCACCTTCCTACCATAACTGCCACCACTGTTTATGGGGTCAGAGTTCGCAAATGCTGTTGCAGGAGAAAAGTCTAGAGTAGCTGTGTTCCAGTTAGGTATCAGGATGTCACAGAGTTCGGGGACTGTGGGAATCATGAAGTTTGGTAACCATACTACTCTTTCTCTATTGCTCAGGTGCTCAGCTGATCAGTAGCTTATAAACGTGCAAAAAAAAAAATGAAGGCTTGAATCCCACCTCAAAATTTGATTGAAAATTATGTATAGAAATCCATAAATCAAATGCCTACCATTATTTATGGGTTGGTAATTCAGGACAGACTGTGAAATAGAAGATAGGAAAAACGTAATTCTAAAATGATTACTTTTGTTATCCAAATTACTCTAAAAGAAATTTTATAGTTTGTTCAATCACAGTGCCTTTATTTTATTACTTGTAAAAGATGTGCTTTTGCTTAAGGCAGAAACTCAGCCCTAGATGCTTTCCTGACCTCTAGAACCACATTACCAACTGCTTTTTGGACATTTTGAAATGTACCATAGACATCTCAAACTAAATGTGTCCAAAAAAGACTCATCTTTACTTCTAATCCCACACCTCTTATGAACTTCGCTATTACTTCCAATGGCACCATCATCCTTCAGGTCACCCAAATTCACAACCTTGATATCATCTTCAACTACTTATTCTTACCCACCTGACATATTCAAGCAGTTATCCAATCCTGTTGTTTCTATCTCTATGACATCTCTAGGATGTATTTCTTTTTTTCAACTCAAACAACCACTGCCACAATTGAGGCCCTTACCATGTCCTACCTGGATTATTTTAAAAGTTCCTAATTGGTCTCCCTGACTCAAGCCTCTCCCTGGAGCTCCAGATAATCTGACACTTAGCAGCCCAAGGGTTTTTCCTAAAGCACAGATCTGACCATATTATCTCCTCCACTCCTCAAAAAATTCCAGGGGCTCCATGTTTCCTTTAGGATAAAATAGAAACTTTCCTGATCGATATTTAAAGCTCTATATGACCTGGCCCTTTCTTACCTCCCTGGCCTGTTTACACATAATTCCTGCCCACATACACTGTGGTCTAGTCTTATTGGTCTAATATCTGTGACTCCACAGGACATTTTATCTCCCATCCCCATAACATTACGCTGGCTATCTGTCATGCCTGGAATGCTCTCCCTCCATACCCCTACCTCACAGAGTCCCTTGATCTGTCTTCAGCAGAAGGCCTTTCTCCATTCTCTTAGCTCCTGGTGCCTTCCTTTCCAAGATTATCTTATGTCTAGTATCTTTGTATGTTTCCTGTATAATATATATAGTGTATATATACATATTATGTATATATATATATATATGTGTGTGTGTGTGTAATATAATATATAACACATATATAACATGTCATGTTATATTGTATTACCTCATGTCTTATGTCTTTGTATGTTTCCTGTATATCATTGCATATGTACCTGCTATTTTCCTGGGTAGAATGTAAGATTTTTGAGGGCAGGAACTCTTTTCATTTTTGTCTTTCTATCCCTAGCACCTAGCATAGTTACTCACACATAGTACATGTTTAATAACATTTGTTGCTTTACCTTGCCTGTCTTTTTCTTATATTATTCTGTTATTTTAAACATAATGGCAAAAGAAAGAAAAAAATGGCATTATACCCTTATGCATACTTGTCTACTATAGTTTCTCTTGAGATCTCTTTGAATTAAGGCTGTCACCAATTACTGTCTTAATATATACATATATATATGTGTACATATCCATAATTCTTTGTAAATAGTTGGTGATACTTATCATTTGTCTATATATGATTTATAGAAATAAACTCCCCATAGATTTAAATATATTAGAAACTTAACCACAATTATTTTTTACAAAATGAAATTGTTTCATTTAAAAATGAAAAAAAAATTATAGCATTTCAAAGAGTTTATAAAGTCTGTTGCTAACATGTCAAGGGAAATTTTTTCCTCCAATTTTCAGCTCTCTAGCAGTTAGGAGAATTGCTGCATAGCAATTATGATACAGTTTATATATTTTTCAGGGAAAACAATGTTTATTAAGTTCCTACTAAGTGTCAGGCCCTATGCTTAGCATCAGAGCTATAAGAAAAGGTCTGCCCTCAAGGGGCTCACAATCTACTGTATACAAATGATGTAAACAGGATAAATTGGAGATAATCTCAGAGGGAAGGCACTATGCTAAAGAAGGAGTGTGAAGGCTTCTTGCAGAAAGTGGAATTTCAGCTGACACTTAAAGGAAACCAGGTAGCAGAGACAAGGGAGAACATTCAAGGCTTGGTGCACAGCTACTTAGAAAGCACAGAGTGAGGATTTGGAGTGCTGTGTTCCAAGAACGATAAAGAAGCCAATGTTACTGGATGATAGAGTACATAGAAGGAGGTAATGTATAAGAAGCCTGGAAAACTAGGAATGGGTGAGGATATGATGAGGTTTTGTATTTCATCCCATAGGTAATCATGAGCTGCTGAAGTTTATTGAATGGTGGTCACCTGTATGCTATTTTCCAACAGCCTATATTGAAGTTAGAGAGAGCCTCCTGAAATTTTTCAAACCTAATGACTACTCCCTATTTTTGGTGATTAATAAGTACTGCCAAAAGGTACTTGGAAAGAATCTCTAGAAACAGAAACAAGTGGTATTTTTTTAATCACTGCTACTGTTTGAAAAGAGGGGATTTTTAAAAGGGAAGATACAAGAAATGAATTGCTGGTTTAAAAAGATAAGTATTAGAAAAAATGATTTTATTTCTGGACATAGGGATGTATCTAATGAATGCCAAGAAGAATAAATATATTTCCTTAGTATACACTAAACCATAAACATGCC